AGTTTTATGACCGTTATATGACATGTGCAATATGGACCTAAGGTCATTCCATTTATGTTATGATGTGCTTGGGCCTGAGGCCGTTTTGATACATGATTGGGCCTAAGACTACTTTGATATAGGTGGGCCCGAGGCCGTTTTGATATATAATTGGGCCCGAGGATATTTTGATATATAATTGGGCCCGAGGCTGTTTTGATATATGAATAGGCCCGAGGCCGTTGTGATAAATGTGGGCCCGAGGCCGTTTTGTTAGATGTTGGGTTGGAGGCCATTTTCTTATATGTTGGGGTTAAAGTCATTTTGTTATATGTTGGACCCGAGGCAATTTCGTTTATGATGGGCCTAAGGCCATTCTGTAAATATGATTCTGGATAATATTGTGAAGGATGTAATTGTAAAACAGTATTGTGTTAACATAATATGCTTTCTTTTAAATCAAGATTATTCATTTGATTCTTGAGCATCACTTACCCCCCTATGTTTATGTGTGTAGGTGATTAACAAGGAGGTAAACCTTGGAGTCTGCCTCAGGAGTTATTTTTGTGAACCTGTTTGGTTGAGTCTCCAAGATGGAGCTTTTGATCTTTGACTCACATTCTGTTATTACTTTTATTTCGTTTTGCTTAATGGTCTTGGGATATGTAAACCATATGTATGGAATTCTTTTTGGTACATAAGTTTTTGCATCGTCATGTAAATATGTGAATGTGCTATGTTGTCAATTGTAAAATTTTGATCATTTTGGCACGACTCAGTGGTTTTCTTCATTTGTGTTATGCTTCCACTTATGACCCCATTATTATAATTATTCTGTATGTTTGTTTGAGGCCAAAGACAATCAAGTGATTACTGCCTGGTTATGATCCGAACTTTTAGGGATGGGTTTGGGTCGTGACATGTACCATCTTAGGATTTCACAACACAAATTGTGTCAGAGTATCCAAAACTAGGCCTCACCCTGAGCAACCAGTATTAACTATCAATCGTACACTCCAATGATCATTTTAGTTAATTTCCATAATAATCAATCACAATTACAAAATTAGATCACCATCGATATTATATCATTAATTACAATTTAAAAGAGAAAATATTAACAAATACATTCTACAGTAATTAACCAATAAACATATTATTGTAAACCGGTAAATCTAGACATAATGTGAAATAATAATTTATAAAAAATAAAATAAATCAAAACATCACACGTGCATGAATTACTACTTTAAAAGATTTAGTTAAATAGACTAGCACAACATTTATTTTCAGTTCTCATAAATAATTGAAAAAATGCTAGATTTCAATCTAAAACATGTAGATGAAACTAGACTTCTCAAATTTCATTTTCAACTGAAAAAATGCCAGATTTGGTCTATTATAGGATTTTTATTAATCTTTCAAACATAAAGCAGAATCTGTCTCAAAATTCAGATTTAATTAAAATTCCATATAAGTTTGTACAAAACTAAAATAATTGATACAAACATTTCTGAATGATCTAGAAATCATTCTTAACGATATTTTTAGAGAAGACCATCAAAATTTTGAGTATAAAATTGTCTAAAAATTTGTATAAAATTCTAGTTGATATAAGAACCATATGACCAAACTAAATAAAATCTTTAACAGTCTATTACATATCACAAATTGCACATGCAAGCCTAATTCCAGATTATATCATGATTTTAATACAATTAATATATAAATTGTGACAAGCCCATTCTGTATTATACTATTAAGTCATAATTATACTTGTGATTATATCGTTTATGTGATCTTGGATGCTAATCTTGTGATTATGTATGTTTTTGAATTCATATTTGTTCATGTAGGAAAATCTGTTATGTATTCTGTAATAAACTAAAATTGAGGGTCGTAGAGGTGACAAAAACCAAAATTGACAATACCATTGTGATTAGCATAACTTTTAGAGCTTGCGGTGACATTTAATTAAAAGTTGATTCAGATCAAAATAATTAGATTAAGTTGATTGATGTATAAAGGATTGACTAGCCTTAATCAAGTTTGATTAGCCTAAGCTAATTACCTTATATAAATAGGATGAGATGGTGCTTAGGCTCGTGTAATTGAGCTCTTCTTCAATACTTTGCTGAGATTATACACAATATAGAGAGAGAAGTGAGAATTCAAGGGAGAGAAGAGGAAAGCCTGGGGATTTGCTAAAGGAATTGAAGGATAGTAAAGCTAGGCTCATGAACTTGCTAGGATTAGAGGAGTTGAAGGCTCTAGGTAAGTACTTGAACTCTAAATTCATGAACTTAAGTCATATAAATGTGAACTCAAGAAGAATGTGTAGTTAAATATGTGAATCGAGCAAAGATTGCAGTAATTGTGATCAATTTGAATATGCATGCATGGATTTGTTTCGATTCTTCAATTTTGAGCAAGAACCTTGTAAATTACGATGAATTGGAAATTATAGCTAACATTCATAATGGTTTAGACTCCAACTCTAAGTTTAAAAGTATATGGATGCCAGATTTGAAAACGGTCCACATACATGAAGTTTACGATTTGAATTTTGTTGAATTCATGGAACTTTGACTTATGGGTTGAAGTTATCCTTAAATATGTGTTTTTGGGAGTGTTTATACACAAACGAACAAGACATGCATGAGTTTGAAACATTGAATTTGTGTTTGAAGCTCAAAACAGAATTCTGGAAATTTCAAAAATTCGATGCACCGCGAGCCACCTTTTAGTGACCAAAAGGTGGCTCAAGCGCAAAATTCGAGCATCTAGTAAATTTGCAAACAATGGAGGTTGACTCGAGTGACCGAAAGACCACTCGAGCAGCCACACCTTTATTTTCAGTCTTGGCTCGAGTGACCAAGAAGTTGGCTTCAGTGTAAAATGAGAGCATCATGTAGTTTTGCAAACGGAGGGGTTGGCATGAGCAACCAATGTTGCACTTGAGCTAAGTGCCTTGTTTCCAAAAACTTTGAAAAGTTGTTTTATGTTTCAATTTCTATTCTATTTCATTTCTGAGCATTCTTAGGCACACATTGAGCATCCTAAATGAACTAAATAATTAGAAATAACCCTAAGAAAAATAAATTCGTTAAGGAACAAATTGAATAATATTGTGACCTAATTTATGTGTGGGGTTAACTCTGAGAATGAATCAACCAACTAAACTCAGTGAGTAATATCTTAGTAAAGCTATTTTACCAATACTCTATTTCTAATTGTTTGACAATGAAAGTATTATTTGTACAAGTGAATGACATCACATAAACACGAACAGTTGACCCAAGGTTATTTGGTTTATATTTGAATTACAGGGCGAAGTCGCTCGATATATCTGAATTGGGCATGAGGCTGCTTTGTGTATCTGATAAAGTGGACCCAAGGTCGTTCTGGATTTCAAATAAGACTAATTGACTGATATGATATGATTGAATCTCTGACAAGTCAGAATAACTGATATGCAATTGCAAGAATTGAAAGGCCAATGTATACGGAAAATGATTGGACCCAAGGTCATTCTGATAAGAGATGACTGAATCCGATCAGTGAATCTGTTAACTGTTGGACCTGAGGTCATTCTGTACCCTGTTGGGGTGAAGGCTATTCTGTTGAGTGATGATTGAATTCGTACTGTATATTCTGCTATTGGTTGGACCTATGGTTGTTCCATCGCATGTTGGACCTGAGGTCGTTCTGATGTAAAAAGCTTACTAATTATATATGCTTATTGATCACATTTGCTTATCTATTAAAATGGGCTCATTCACTCGACCCCTTTACTTTGGTATTATTCACTTGGCATTAGCTCACTCTTTATTTATATGTATGTAGGTGAGCGGTGGGATATTCAGCCCTTGCCCTAGTGATCCTGTGAGAGATGTAGCTTATGTGGAGTCAACCAAGATCGCCTCATGCAAGAGGCTTTACTTTTGATTTTTCTTTTGTTTGCTTTTGTGGTCATGTGTAACCAAGTCTACATATAACCTTGGTTTTAGTCAAAACAATTTTTGAATGATCTTGGACTTATGTAAATATAAATATTCTAAATGACTGTCTGATGTGAGTTATTAATATAATGTGAAAAGTTTTTGTAATGCCATATATGCATAGTTCATTGGATAAAATTTCTAATTCTTCTTTTGCATCTGACCCCCTATTAATATTAGATATGACTGATTTCTGCCTAAGGCTGTAGGTAATCTCATGATTACTGGTCAGTTATTATCCTAACCTTTAGCGATGGGTTAGAGTTATGACAGAATGGTATCAGAGACGAGTAATAACTCACACACTTATTCGAATGAACAATAGAGTGTCTAGAAAAGACTTAAGTTGCATTCATGTGATGAATATATGCTTGAATGTATTAAGAACATGCTGAAGTGTTCTGAAATATGTGACTACATGATATATGAACTGTTGCTTATCTGTATATGCATGCCCTTTCTATCTATGTATACTGCGTACATTGTTTTTGTATGAAATATGATGCAAGTCTCATCAGATAATGGTGAGAACAAGATCCGACGAAATAAAAAAATCTTCTATTAACAGGCTAGATTGGATGGAAAGACTGATACAGGACATTGCAGAAACACTCAGGCAACAATAGCAATGGCAACAACAGTGGCAACAACCGCCACCCACACCTCCGGTACAACCTGTGCATGACTTAGAAAAATGATGACCGAACAATAGCTCTCACCAAAGAGTTTAAGAAAATGAAGCCACAACTGTTTCACGGGGGAGTAGATCCATTGAAAGTAGAAGCTTGGGTCCTTGGTATTGAGAAATTATTTGAAGTATTCCTCTTCCTTGAAACATAGAAACTACAGTTGGCCACCTTTATATTGGAGGATGAAGCAAGAAGGTGGTGGATGCTAATTCATGATGACAACAAGGGCATAGAATAGACACGATTTTTTGAGCAATTTTATGATAAATATTTTCCACAATGTGTCTATGATAGAAATGTGTCTGAGTTTGAAGGGCTGAAGCAAGGCAGTATGACTGTGGTTGAGTATGAGGCCAAGTTTACTAAACTGGCTAGGTTTGCACTGCATATGGTCAACACCGACTATAAAAATGGGAGAAAATTTGATGGCAGTCTATGTAACGATATCCTGGAAAGGGTGAATGTACTGAAATTGCCTACTTATGTTGATGTGCTAGATCAGGCTTTAATGTCAAAAACTAATATGGGCAATGAAAATAAATCGTCTGAATGGAAAGGTAAGAGACAAGGCTTCTTTTCAAAGAAGAAGATATTTAAGAAGCAAAGTACTGGTTCATCGAGTTCTAGCTCTTCAAGGGACTCTGCACCAACATGTAACATCTGTGGTAGAAAACATCGAGGGGTTTGTTACCACACATTTGGGGCATGCTTTTGGTGTGGAAAAACTGGGCATATGGTTAAAGATTGTCCGCAGAATGACCAAAAAGGTGGAAGGTTGTTCGCTATTTCAACTGGATATATCCCTGTACCAGGGAACACTGTGAGACCTACCGCTACCAAAGACATAATGAGGCAAGGGAGAGTCTTTGCACTCATCCCAGGTGACACATGGAATACTGAAGTCGTTGTCTCAGGTACTATCTCCACGTGTAATCAAGATACTTTTGTGTTAATTGATTCTGGATCCACACATTCCTTTGTGTCTACTATAGTTGCATCTAGATTGAATAGACCCCTAGAATCATTACCATATCTATTGTGTGTATCTATTCCATCTAGGGAATCTGTGTCATGTGCATTTGTGTATCGTATTTGTGATATGCGTATTGGCAATGCTACTTTATATGTGGATTTGTTACCGTTGGACATTAGACATTTTGATGTGATTTTGGGTATGGATTGGTTGTCTAAATACTATGCGACCATCAATTGTGTAACAAAACGAGTTATGTTTAGACCACTAAGGCATGAAGAATTTGAGTTTGTTGGTAATGGTGTAGTGCCTTCACCTTATCCAATTTTAGCAATGAAAGCATGTAAACTGCTTAGGTAGGGGTGTCAAAGTTACTTGTGTAGATCTTGACTAAGTAATCTACGAATGTTCAATTAGACAGTTTTTCTGTTCATAGGGACTTTCTAGATGTATTTCCTGATGAACTGCCAGGGGAATTGGTTGACAGAGAAATAGAGTTTACTAGTGATGTTGTACCAGGCATCCAACCTATCTCAAAAAGCCCCTTACAGAATGTCTACTGTTGAAATGAAAGAAGTGAAAGAGCAGTTGCAAGACTTGCTTGATAAGGGTTTTATTAGACCAAGTATTTCACCTTGGTGTGCTCCAGTATTGTTTGTGAAAAGGAAAAATGGGACCTTACGTTTGTGTATTGACTATCGGGAGTTAAACAAGGTAGCAATCAAGAATAAATATCCATTGCCCTGAATTGTTGATTTATTTGAGTAGTTGTAGGGATCACAAGTATTCTCAATGATCGATTTGAGATCCAGATACCACCAGTTAAAGGTAAAAGTAGAGGATGTTGAAAACACTGCATTTTGAACAAGGTTCGGTCACTACGAATTTCTCGTAATGCCATTTGGAGTGACTAATGCATCTGTGGCATTTATGGATCTTATGAATCAAATTTTAAATCCTACCTTGACGAGTTTGTTGTAGTTTTTATTGATGATATTATGATACATTCAAAGAATAGAACTGAACATGAACAACATCTGAGAACTGTCTTGAAAACACTTAGAGAAAATAAATTATTTGCTAAACTGAAGAAATGTGAATTTTGGTTGGATGAGATTGTCTTCTTAGGGCATGTCATCAACAAATATGGGATTTCTGTAGGCCTACAGAAGATAGAGGCAATTGTGAACTGGCCTACATCAACGAATGTAACGGAAGTCCTCAGTTTCATAGGATTAGTTGGGTACTACAGATGGTTTGTGAAAGACTTTTAAAAAATAGTTGTACCGCTTACCCAATTAACTCGAAAAGGGCAACCATTTGAGTGGAATGATGGGATGGAATCTACCTTCTAAGAACTAAAAACGAGATTAACTATTGCACCAGTGTTAACATTGCCTTCAGGTACGAAAACTTTTGTGATATTTAGTGATGCTTCTTACAAGGGTTTGGGTTGTGTGTTAATGTAGAATAGGAGAGTAATTGCCTATGCCTCCAAACAGTTGAGACCGCAAGAAAAGACACTATCCAACACATGACCTAGAATTTGCCGCAGTTGTATTTGCTTTGAAAATTTGGCGGCATTACCTATATGGAGCAAAATGTGAAGTTTATATGGATCATAAAAGTATAAAGCACTTCGTTACTCATAAAGAATTGAATTGAATATAGGGTAATGAAGGTGGCTAGAATTGATCAAAGACTATGATCTTTAGATTCAATATCACCTAGCGAAAGCCAATATAGTTGCCGACACTTTGAGTAGAAAATTAACGAGGAATTTGGCTTGTCTGTTTACTGAACAAAGTAGTCTGATGGCTGCCATTGCATTTCAACCAGCGATCATTGACGAGAGATGAAACAGAAATAAGGAGAGAATGTGTTCCTCAAGAAGTTAATTGATGAATTCGAAGTGAATTCAAAACAAGGGTATAATGTTGAAATTGAAGTGCTGAAATTCCAAAATAGATTGTGTCTTCCAAACATTTCTAATTTAAAGAAGAGAATTCTAGATGAAGCCCACAAATCAAAAATTTCTATGCACTCGGGTAACAATAAAATGCATCGGGACCTAAAACAAACCTACTAGTGGCCAAATATGAAGTGGGAAATTACAGAATATATGCCTAAGTGCCTTCAGTGTCAGCAAGTTAAAGCTGAACACCAGAAACCGGCAAGCTTACTTCATCTCTCCCTATTCCAGAATGGAAGTATGAGCACATAACCATGGACTTTATTGTCAGACTACCTTAGACCCCAAAGAGGTATGAATTCTATCTGGGTTATAGTCGATAGACTGACTAAATCTGCACATTATCTTCTGGTTCAAACCACTTATGATGCATATAGATTGGCTACAATTTGTATTCATGAAATTGTTCGTGTACATAAAGTATCGGTATCTATTGTATCGGATAGAGATTCAAAATTTGTGTTTAGATTCTTAAGAAGCCTACAGAGGGCAATGGGGACAAAATTAAGACTTACCACTGCATTCCATCCACAAACTGATGGGTAATTGGAACAGATTATACATACATTACAATATATTCTTCGAATGTTTGTCTTAGATTTTCAAGGGTGTTACAAAGATTGCTTATCACTAGCAAAATTTGCATATGATAACAAATGCCACTCCAGCATTGGCATGGCACCATATGAAGCCTTATATGCCGGAAAATAGATCACCAGTCTGTTAGATATAAGTCGGGATAGAGTCTTGCTTGGCCTAAAATTGTGCAAACCACTGAAAAGATCAAAGTTGTTCAACAAAGGCTCAAGACAACATAGAGTAAACAAAATAGCTATGCGAATGTTAGAAAAAGGCCACTTGAATATAAAGTTGGCGACCATGTATTCTTTTTTGGGTGAATAGTGACCATATATTCATCTGTGTAATTCCAATGAAGGGCTAGTCAAGATTTGGCAAGAAGGGTAATTCGTCACCCCATTACATTGGGTTGTTTCAACTTCTGGAGAGGCTCGGTCCAGTTGCTTACAGAGTTGCTTTACCGTCAGGACTAGAACAAATGCATAACATGTTCCATGTATCGATGTTGATGGGTTATCTCTGACATTCATTTCATGTCATTGATAACCACCGGATAGCTCTTGATGGGAATATGGAATGTGAAGAATGGCCAAAACAAATCATTGACTGGCAAGCAAAACAACTAAGAAACAAATCCATTCCAATGGTGAAAGTGGAATGGAATTGGAATGGGAGGAGCATTATGGAAGGGAAGCCACATGGGAAAAAGAAGATGAGATACAACAACGTTACCCATATCTATTTGTGAATGAAGGTAACATAAGTTTGGAGGACCAAACTTTCTAAAGGGGGAAAGAATGTAACAACACCGTTTCGTATTATACTACTAAGTCATAATTATACTTGTGATTATATGCTTTTTGTGATCTTATGTATTTTATATTATGTATTAAATTGAAATTAAGGGCCATAGAGACGACCGAAACCAAAATTGATTGTACCATTGTGATCAGCATAATTTTTAGAGCATATGGTGAAATTTAATTAAAAATTGATCAAAATAATTAGATTAAGTTGATTAATTTATGAAGGATTTATTAGTCTCAATCAAGTTTGCTTAGGCTCATGTAATTGAGCTTGTCATCAATACTTTGCAGAGATTATACAGAATACAGAGAGAGAAGTGAGAATTCAAGAGAAATGATGAAAGCATGGGGATTTTCTTAAGAAATTGAAGGGTAGTAAAGCTAGGCTGAAGAACTTGCTAGGATTAGAGGAGTTGAAGGCTCTAGGCAAGTATTTGAACTCTAAAACCATGAACTTAAGTCATATAAATGTTAACTCAAGAAGAATGTGCAGTTAAATGTGTGAATTGAGAAAAGATTGTAGGAATTGTGATCAATTTGGGCATGCATGCATGGATTTGTTTTGATTCTTCAATTTTGAGTTTGAACCTTGTAAATTATGATGAATTGGAAATTATATCTAACATGCATGCATGAATTATCACGTTTTAGAGTCCAACTCTAAGTTTAAAAGTCTATGGATGCAAGATTTGAAAATGGTCCACATACATGAAGTTTACGGTTTGAATTTTGTTGAATTCATGGAATTTTGAGTTATGGGTTGAAGTTATCCTTAAATATGTGTTTTTGGGAGTGTTTATACACAAATGAACAACACATGCATCAGTTTGGAACCTTGAATGTGTGTTTGAAGCTCAAAACTGAATTCTGGAAATTCCAGAAATTCGATGGACCACTCGAGCAACCAAAATGTGGCTCGAGCGCACAATTTGAGCATCCAGTACTATTGCAGGCATTGAAGGTTGGCTCGAGCGATTGAAAGACCGATCAAGCGACCACCTATTTATTTTTTGTCTAGACTTTAGCGACCAAGAAGTTCGCTCGACCATAAAATGAGAGCATCCCGTACTTTTGCAGACTGAGGGGTTCACTTGAGGAACTAATGTTGCGCTCGAGCGAAGTGCCCTATTTAAGTAAACTTTAAAAAGTTGTTTTATGTTTCAATTTCCGTTCTATTTCATTTCTGAGCATTCTGAGGCATACATTGAGCATCCTAAATGAACTAAAGAGTTAGAAATAAGCCTAAGAAAGATAAATGAATTAAGCAACATATTGAATAATATTGTGACATAATTTCTATATGTGTTACGAATTGTATAGGGTCAACTTTGAGGACGAATCAATCAACTGAACTTTGTGAGTATTATCTTAGTAAAGATATTTTACTTATATTCTATTTTTGATTCTTCACATGTGGTAAGCTTTTCTGAACCAATGTTTTGATAAGTGCGAATGAGTTTCTACCTTCTGTCTGAACGATATAATAACAATGGAAGTATTATCTGTACAAGTGAATGACAAGAGATAGACACAAACAGTAGACCCAAGGTCATTCTATATATATTTGAATTATGGGGCGAAGTCACTCGATATATCTAAATTGGGCTTAAGGAGGTTTTGTGTATCTGATAAAGTCGACACATGGTCGTTCTAGATTTCTGATAAGATTGATTGATTGATATGATATGACTGAATCTCTAACAAGTCTGAATGACTGATATGCAATTGCAATAATTGAATGGCCAATATATATTGGAAATGATTGGACCCAAGGTCGTTCTGGTAAGAGATGGCTAAATCCAATTGGTGAGTCCGTTAACTGTTGGACCTGAGGTCACTCTGTACACTGTTGGGCCCAAGGTTGTTCTGTTGAGTGATGATTGAACTTGTACTGTATATTCTTCTATATCTTGGACCTAAGGTCGTTTTGTCACATGTTGGACCCGAGATTGTTCTGATGTAAAATGCTTACTTATTATATATGCTTATTGGTTAGATATGCTTATCTACTAAAAGAGACTCATTCACTCAACCCCTTAACTTTGGTATTATTCACCGGGCATTAGCTCACTCTTTATTGATATGTATATAGGTGAGCAACAGGATGTCCAACCGCACCCCTAGTGATCCTGTGAGAGATGTCAGCTTATGTGGAGTCAACCAAGGTCGCCTCATGCAAGAGGCTTTACTTTTGATTTTCCTTTTGTTT